AATAAACTAAACGCAAGACACGTTCATGTTCTTTAATTCTAGCTCAGCAGCCTCCGACACGCAGGCTTCCTAGGGACAGCAGCAAGAGGGGACCGGATGGATTTGTGTGACATGGTAGAACGAAAGTAAAAATAAAGTTTGAATCTGATTTTTTTCTTTTTAGGAAAAGCCCACGGCCAATGAAGTGTCCACCGCAGAGCCAGGTTCCCTGCCGTGCCGCGAGCCGGCTGCCCGCGCGGCTGCGACAGGTAAGGAGCGAACTGCTCCGTGCGCCGGTGGTTCGAGTGCCAGGAAACTCGCCGCAGGGCTTTGCCTAAGGGCTGGCCCCGGTGCCCAAGAGGGTCTGGCGGGAAGGTGCCGCTCGCCCCAGGGACAAGCTCCCGCTCAGCTGCCAGGGCAGGAGGATGGGGCAGAGGCTGTGGAGCCGAGAAGCCTCGTAGCAAGCACCCCTCATCTGAGGAGGGGAGGTCTGGGCTCCCAGGGGCTGCTTGGCGGGGGAACGCCGGAGCGTGCCTCACGGCCAGCGGGAAGCTCTCGGGGCGGAAATTATAAATTAGGCATCTCCAGAGACCTCATTCATTTTACCCATAATAAAATTAGCACTCTTCAAAGGGGAAGGCTCCTTTGAAAGGCGTCAGTCGAACTAACCCTGTGGGACGGCTCAGCTCAGACGCAGGAATGTTCAACCCCAGGTTTGCAGCCAGGAACTATACAGCGCTCTGGGGACGCAGCTGCTATTACGAGCAGCACGACCCCTTCAAAACCCACCCCACCTACGTTCCCGAGGTCTGGCAGGGCACAGGGCACCACCCCTGCCCTCGGAAAGGAAGACGCAAATGCAACTAACTTGTTTCAACCTCTCCTGTTCCTTTTTCGGCTGTGCCTTTCGACCAGCTCCTTTCCAAGCGGCCCATACTCACATCCCCCCATCTCAGCAAAGCCGCTCACCCTTGTGCATAATGTAAAAAAAAAAAACCCCAAACAAAATCCCCCAAGCTCCTGGGATCCTACTGAAGTTATTAATGTCCCTACAGGGGCTGAGACTTCTAATTTTAAAGAAGGAAGGGATGCCTATTTATTACTTGCCAATACCTCCTTATTTTGGTTAATCTCACCCTACAATGTTCTGTTTACTACAGCTTAAAAAAATAGGCAGCTTACACCACAAGTAGGGCACAGGATGTTTTTCCACATTGCCGAGCCAGAGGAAAGCGAGGGACGCGGCGCAGACACCGGGAGAACTCCCCACGCCAGCTGCCAGCAGCTCCTGCGGCGTCCGGACCTCGACACAGCCCACGGAGTGAGCGGAAACACTGTCGTCACGATGAGTTAAACTTTGTCGTGAGCAACAAGGAGCACATTCATCCCCATGGATGAATAGACTGAATAGTCCAGGGCTGCTCTAAGCTCCTAAGGAAAAAAACCCGCCTCTTCCAAACTAACATGCACTGGTTTGAATCTGATGGCTATAAATTGTACCTGGGAAAGCTCTCTGGGATACAGGAATAGAGCTGAGGGAGACTCGCTTGCTTCCAAATCCTGAAACGGCAGCGTCTGCCTTCCCTTGGGACGGTGCTACCGCCTCAGGACTACTGTCCGTCTGGGTTACACTCCTCCTCGACGGCCGGTAAGCGAGCCTCCTGGGTCGCAGCCACCCTGCTCCGACCCCCCCAGAGGTGACAACAGCCCCGTTTCACCTGGTCAGCAAGACTCCAGCATTGGGACCAGCTTCGGAGAAAAAGCCTGCAGACGATGAGCCGGCAGAGCACCGGTGTGAGGTGGAGAGGGGTCCGGGCGGAGGGGAAGAGGGAGGGCTGCATTACCCAACCCGTGCAGAGCTGCACCTTCTCTGGAAGCAGCTCACCACCACAAGCAAAGCCCCAGCCCAGCCCCTTCCACGCTTTTCTTGTTTTAAACTCCCATGCTCTGGCAAGGCTGCAGCTCGAGAAAGCAGGGACAAGTCTCTCCTCCATGTAGTTCTCTGGCCCGGTGTGAACCGAGCCCCAGGGGCTAAAGCTTCCCTGAGCAAAGAAAAAGCCCCGAGGACAAACCCAGAAGAAACGCAAGGGAACTCCTCTGGGCGCTGCACGGCCCTGCATCTGCATCAGACCGACATGAGAGCGCAGGGCTCTTCATTTCCTCTTGGCTTTTCCTCTCCAGCCTGTCTGCCCTCGGCACTGGCCGGAGAGAGCTGTAAGGGCACTGCCTGCGGGCTGAAATGCAAAGCCTCCACGAGAGGTTGGCTCCTGCCCAGCAGAACTGGTTTAATTAGGGGAGACCTCCCCTGGCCGGGAAGGCACCCGGTAAGGCACCACGGAGCTGCCGAACCACTCAAGTTGCAGAGCTGAAGGACAGACAACCTCCTTCGCAGCTACATAGCAGCTTCTTCCTCCCCCAGGGCAGCAGCTCTGCCCCGGGAGAGACAACTGGCAGGTGACCTGAAAACAGAGCTGCTGAGCGCGCGCAGCTCAGCGCACCGCGCACCGCGCTCAGGACAGCGGCGACTAACACCCGCAGCGCAAGCTGCCAGCTACAGCCTGCTGCCTGCGACAGCCTGCCGGACGGGGAAAGCCATCCCTCGGCAGACACCGGGGGCTGGCACGGACGGAGAAACCCTGTGAAGTGAACCCCTCTTCCTGGGGCGAGGGGCAAGGAGAAAGGACGGCATTGAACTTCGCTAACTTCCAAGGCCATTACTCCCCCACCAAAAATCCTGATGTTTTACTCTTCACCTATCATTTGCCTAAGCAGCACCGAGTTGCAGGCCAGAGCATCTACAGCTTGTGTGTATATCCTGCAATGAACCCCGTGGAGTGGTTTTAAACCCGGAGATGAGGAAAACTGATACCTGGACCCTGAACAACCGTGCGTGCACATGTATACATCTACAGACCACGGAGTACTTCAACACACTTCGTTCTTGCAGCCCTAGCTTAGTCACTCCAGCCCCTGCCTTCGCTTCTTTTCCATGCGGAAAGCGTGAATACATCCTACTGCAAGGACAGACATTGCTCCAATAGCAGGGGTTAAGGGCAAACTGTTCACCGTGACACAAATTCACATCATCACACTGCTTGGCTTGAACAAGAAACCTCTCAACATTTTAAAGAGGGGATTTTATAGCCCGCACAATAGAAACAGACTCCCAAGCTTCACTTTTCAACACACAAGCGTGACAAAAGGGACATCCTGAGTAAGTTAATTCCACAAATATAGAACGGTTTCAACAGCCTTGAGTAGTAAGGCTTTTTAGTAAGTAATTCGTCATAAAAATAAACCCTGTTTTCATCTGAAGTAAAAGGAACCCCGGCAGAGTTGAAGCTTGACCTTTCTGCATCAGTTGGAAAGCCATCAGGGTCTTCTCTCACCTACTTATCCCACTTGAGCTCCCTTCCCATCTCTACATCGCAAGAGGTCAGGAAATGAAGGCTCTTAGTCATCACAGTTTGATTAAGACGGCTTAAAAATTTGAGCTTTAATTGAAATGGAAAGAAACATTCCAAGATATATGTTTTATAGATTTAACTGAGTTACCAAATTTAGTTTTCATTGGATGTTATTGGAAACATGAACATTAAATCATAAGCACCGAATAGGAGAGAACTCAAAAGCAGGATATAACCATACCATATCAGGAGGGATTGGACCAAATGCTTTTGTAGGCAATTATCCAAATGTGTGATGCACTGACATGTTAGCTCATAGGAGGTAAGGATATCCTTGAATCCACCTGAAAAAACTTCCGAGGACTGACTACATCAACGTTTTCCTGGCAAGTATCTTCTCTGCCAGCAGTAAATCCCAGCTCAATACATATCTAAAATGATATACATTAGAGGGCATGTGTTTAAGAGTATTAAGTCAGCTTAAATGACTTGAGCAAAATATTAAATATGTGATAGAAATCTAAAAAGGAGCAAAAAAAGATTGAGAGACCACCACTGCAATATTAATGCCAAGTTCTTACTTTTTTTTTTTTAAAACAGATCTGTACAGCAACATAGCAAAGAACGCAGTGATCACAATTCAAACCAGACAGCAATCTAAGGGAATGCGAACCCTGTAACACAGCAGAGCTGAAACACTCCCAACATTCAGATGCTCCAAACATGTCGGCTACCCTAATGCACTCCAAACCAGTTCTACCTACATAGGACATTTTGGTGTGAAAAAGTTTCTGTAAAGTTCCCTTTGTTTCCAGTGTTTGTCTTGTACAAAATATTACAATGTTTTTTTTTTAATATATATTTACAGAGTTGCACAGATAGAAAAATATAAACTACAATTGGGCTTGGCAATCAGTTCTTTTCTTTAAATACATGACATTTCAGAGCAAAAAGTGTAGTGGTAACATATCCTGCACTTCAAGCCCCTGCACAGAGCAGCTTTCTTCCTTAAGCATATCAAGCCTTAAAAACCATGACTGCAGTGAGACATCTGCCACGAGTGCAACGAATGCAATTCATCTACCTCCTGGCATAAGGAAGACACAAGATGAATGTTGTTTGTGCAGGTTAGTGGCAAAATACAGAAAAATCCATAACTGAACATCAAATTCCTTAATAACATTCATTAATTTCATAGGCAGAGCCTGTTAAAAAAGGACAGCCAATGTAACTTTTAGGAAAAGTAGACGCTAAGCTCATGGGGCATTATACATCTTGAACAAAAAATGCAACCACAGTTAATGTTTCAGGGGCATTTGCTAGCTTCAAGTAAGCCCCAAGGTTTTAAGGGTTTTTCCATTTAACTTTTGAGTAGAGGCCAGGGAGGATTTTTTTTGCTTTAAAGCTACAGTATCCATCATTATGGCTTTTAACACCCTGCCTTTCACCGAGATGAGGTACGTGTTTCTAGTGAAATGGTATAGTTGAGCAAAATGAGTTTCAGTGGACCACAAGACTCCGCACTCAGGTATAAACAGGTTTTCTTATGAAAGGTTGCCAAACCAAATTGTAACAGTGCAAAAGAAGATTTCTTCTTTTGTTTTTTTTTCTGCAGAAAGAGTTGTCGAGGCATCTAGGACATCACTAGTAGTCAAGCCACTGAGCAAATCCTCTTTCCACCAGAGTTCTGTTTATTGACACCACCTAAAGGGGAGGTGTGGAAAAAAAAATAGAAAGATAAACAAACCACTAGCAAGAAACATCAGGAAGTTCCTAATCAACAATAAGAAGCCTGCGTAATCATAAACTCTAACAGTGCTGAAAAAAGTAGGAATGTCAACATATGCACCTCATCTCCCATCAAGTTCCACAGCTGTATCAGTGGCAGACCTGTTGCGCTGTCATAATTTGTGACCTGGAAAACAGAAAAACATCAGTGTGCAGCAATTCTGGTCCCAGACATGGAGGATGCAAGGCTGGCATCATGCACTACAGATCAGCTACTCAAACTTCTGTGTAGGCTAGAGGAAATGCAGCTCCTGCCAGCAGGGACAGCCCGCTGGCACGTTTGCTGTAGTCACTCCGATCCATGCCCTGGCTAGAATGAGCGACGCATTTGAGCCCTGCATTAAAGCAAAGGACGCTGTGTGACAGAGCATCGCAAATGCTATCAGCTTCCCCCTCGCCCCAATTAACTCACGTGGAGAGCCACAGCCACTGCTAGAAGCACTTCGAGACAGGTAAGAGGGAAATGCCTCTTTACTGCGATCAGGCACTGCATGCAGGAGCCTTTGGGACCCTGCCAGAAGCCCGACTTCTCCCTCTGGCCAGCCAGAGGCCAGACCCCGGACATCAGTGTGGCAGACAGTTGAGACCGGCAGAGCAGTGCAGAGCCAGGTGAATACCTGATCCGCTGGACAACAGGCCACTCTGTGCTCTGTGAACCCCTCCGGGTGCCCTTCCTCCCTGCCCGCATCAGGAACGAGAGGGAATGCTCATCCCTTCCCAGCCACACAGTCCTGAGCCATGATGATGGAGAACAAGGAAGTTCTCAGCGCCAAGATTTCTCAGCAAGAACCCTGCCCAGGGCTTACAGGCTCTGGCTTTGATTTTAAACACACACAGTATGCTCGGGGCAGAGGGGATAACAGCAGCAGTCAAACCAGCAGCAAGGCTTTTCCAGGCAGCTCTCATGTACCTGTGCCACTAGCACTGCGCCTCTAGTCATCTCTCTCACAGCGGCGTCGGCTTCGGATGAAAAGTGATCCTCGTCTTTGGAATGGAAAGAGCAGGAGAAAACAAATGAGATATTCACAGGCTTTAAAGGCCAGAAGGCACTATTAAGCTAATCTCGTCTGACCTCCTACATAAGTTAGGCCAGAGAATCCTCACCTCCTGTTGCTGCAGGCACTTGCTGAAACCAGTCTATTAAGCTGGAAACCACACAAGTATCATGCCTGCTGTGTTGCTGAAGGGAAAGGATGAAGTGCTTTCTAAAGCCACTAGCTAAGTTAAACATGATGAATGTGGCTGACGAATTAGGAGGCTTTAAAGACAGAAGAGTATACTTCTGCAGTACCTTTGAGCTGCCATTAGTATTTTCATCCTTAATAAACTAAGCTCAGGGGCCTCAGGACTACTGACCCTGCACAGAGTGCGAGACTGTAAACGGGAACTGAAAAGCATTTGTACCACGGGCTGGCAAGCACCTGAAGTG